ATATATATATATAGATATGTGTGTATATATATATATATATATACATACATGTGTGTGCGTGTGTGCAGGATGGGTTAGGGTTTCGAGTTCAGGTCAGTGTAGGCTCAGTTTATGGTTGAAGAGTTGTCTGTATCTTCAGGACGCCACGAGTATATCATCAGCCTGCACGCATGTGTTTGATGAAACAACTCTTTGAAGATCCGTATATGGTAGGCCACTGCGATGTGTTGTGCATGTTGACTTAGCTTTTACTGAGATGCTGGATTTAACTGGCTGTTGCCTATCAAACGGCCAACCTAGTTTAACAGGGTTCTGAATACTAGTAGCGTCTCATGCGCGCTACGGACTTCCTGCTGCTAGAAGCAGAAACCGTAATTCCCTAAACCCTGAAGTCAGCCTCCGAATCCCTACGTTTCGGGTTTAGGGTTTCGGGGTTTAGGGTTTAGGGGTTTAGGGTTTAGGGGCTCCAAAAGCACGACTCAAACCTCTACATCCTGCAAGCTTAGATCCGATATGCTACACCCCGAAGCTAGTCTAAACCTTCCAGCGTACATCCCAACCCTACAATCCCCAAAGGGTCCAAAGTACCTAAATAGTCGAATGTAGGGTAGCATTATCTGGAATCCTTGTTCTGATTTTGGAAAGTACCCCCCCAGAACAGTACCCAGGACCCTTTGGGATCATGAGCCTTGCACCTGAAGCCCCGAACCTTACATTTCAATCCCTAACCCGATTCAGCAAGCTTAAATCCTAACCTCAAAATCCTACCCCTACATGTCAATGCCTAGTGCGCTTGAAAGGTACCGCAGACAAGCCATCAGTCTTTCCAGCCCGCGCTACACTTCCAACAAGGCAGGGTGGCGGATTCAGGGCTTTGGGTTAATCAGGTTTTAGTGTTTAGGGATGGTTTAGGGGTTTAGAGATTCGGGTTCAGGGCTTTAGGGTTTAGGGTTTAGGGGTGATTTAGAGGTTTAGAGTTTCGGATTCAGGAGTTTAGGGCCTAGGGTTTCGGGCTTGGGGTCTAGGGCTTAGGGTTTAGGGATGGTTTAGGGATGGTTTAGGGGTTTAGAGATTCGGGTTCAGGGCTTGAGGGACACGGAGACGAGGGGTCTGGGTCCCTTAAACCTCTGCACCTCTAAACCCCGGAGAGCACGCTTCTCAACCCTAAACTCATTAAACCCTATAAAACCCGAAGCCCTAAACCCTAAACCCTTTAGGGTTTAGGGTTTATAGGGTTTAACCCTGAAGCCCTAAACCCTAAAGAAGGACAGCAGCTGAATGTCGGTTTGGCGGCTGGTCCAGGCTGCTTCTGGGCTCCTTTTGCAGGCCTAGGGTTCAGGGTTTAAGGTTTTGGGGTTTAGGGGTTTTGGGTTCAGGGCTTAAGGTTTTGGGGTTTAGGGCTGTTGGGTTCAGGGCTTAAGGTTTTGAGGTTTAGGGTTTTTGGGTTCAGGGCTTGAGGTTTTGGGGTTTAGGGTTTAGTGTTTTTGGGTTCTGCTTTAGGGTTCAGGGCTTTGGGTTTAAGGTTCAGGGTTGAGGGTTGTTTTGATTATTTTCCCCTGACGTTTCGGGCACCCATGATCGTAGTATGAGGACCTGCAGAATTACCAATACTCTTTTGGTGGCTCCTTCTTAATTACTATTACTCTTCTCCCGTGTACCCAAAACCCTACTCTGATTATCTGCGCCTATACTATGCACGTTTCCATCATGAAGAGCACCACGACGGGTCGAGATTTCAACCTACCTTTCTGGTGCCGTGGACCTCACTACTTGACATCATGTTCCGAAAAAAGCACTGCATCTTGGGGCTAACAAGACTGTGGCAGATGCCCTTAACCCTGCGCTCAACGCCCTTCGAAACGACGACCTAGAAACACTAAACCTTAAACCCTACTGTATAAACCCAAAAACCCTATAAACCCTAAACCCTATAAACCCTAAACCGTATAAACCCTAAACCCTATAAACCCTAAACCCTATAAACCCTAAACCTTATAAACTCTAAACCCCTAAACCCGAAACCCTATAAACCCTAAACCTTATAAACTCTAAAACCCCTAAACCCTAAACCCGGAACCGTAGCCGATGAACCCTTCAGGTCCTTGTACCCAGAGAATCATATTACAGATCCTACTATAGTTTAAGGTATATTCCTTAATTAAGGGGTATTGGAGTCTCTGGGTAGAGCTAGCCAAGGTAGCGCTGCAGAGGCAGCTCTTCCCCAAGCTTGCGGCAGCCTCCCCGGCTTCCAGATACCGCAGCCTGCGAATGTAGCTGGATCGCCTTTAAAGGGTGTAGGGTTTAGGATTTAGGGTTCAGGGTTTAGGGGTGTAGGGTTTAGAGTTTAGGATTTTGGCGTTTGTTTTCGGGATTTTGGGTTTAGGGCTTATACCTTGAACTACCAGAACCTACTTGTTTTGTGGGTTCTGATTCAACCCCCAACGAATAGAATTTGTAGGGGCCCTACAAAGAGCAAGTTTGAGTAGCTGCAGGTGGGGTTTAGGACGTTTTGGGGATTTTGGCAAAGCCCTGAACACTAATTGGGATCAATTAGTTGTTGTTTCGAGTCCTAGAATCTACCCTATGTTAAACCCTATGCACCCAGCATTTGGGACCATATACCCCTATTTGAGGGTGC